CCCCCTTCCCTTTGTCTTTACAGCCCATCCGTCCCTAGCACTTGGCCTCAAAGAGGCTGTGAGACAGGTTCAGTCTTGAGTTCTACAGATGACTAGCTTTGGGTCTAGCTGAAGAGGGAAGGGGTGTGGAGGAGCCGGGGTGTCTCTGGGGCTCCCTGGGACTAGGTTCTGGCTTTGTAGCAGAACAGATGTAGGAAATTTGGCTCTGGTTAGAGCCCCTCAGCGGGGCATAAGACCAGTGTTTTGGGTTTGTCCGCCCCTGACCACAGGCATCTGATCAGGGCCCCAGTTAAGCCTTAGATTCTAGCTGCTAGGTTCTGTCCTTTTGAGGAGGTTATTCACTATCCTGGAGGGCTCCAGGGAGAGGTAAACTATCTATCTATCTATCTATCTATCTATCTATCTATCTATCTATCTATCTATCTATCTATATCTCATGGGAGCCTCATATCCTTCTAGAAGCTGGTATGAGTCCCCAGTGGCCCTGTATATAGGTATGTTCCCACAGAAATTTCACAGAACTGACTCCTTTACCTCCTATACACGGCTCTCTCCTCTATCCACCCTATGGCCTTCAGTGAGGACTTGGAGCTGGATCTAGCGGCTAAGTGGAGCCCCAGGGAGGGCCTCTGAGGATGGTTGGAATGCTCAGCCCTACCCCAGCCCCCTGCAGACTGTGGACTCCAGCCTGGAGGTCTGGGTCAGGGATGAGGGGCAGGGCGATGGGCGGAGATGGCTCAGAACATGTAGGGGGTGTGCCTGTGCTCAGTGGCTTCAGAGCCTTAGCTCTGTGTGTGGCCCTGGGCAGCTCTCAGCCTGCCTACCCCACACTTTGAGCCTCAGCTAGGACTGGACTTGGATCTAACAGTACATGTATCTCCCACTCCTCTAGTGATTCCTACCTCCTCTTCTTGAGCTCTCCCTCCCCCCGCCACCATGTTTAACAACTGGGTTTTGTCAACTGGACGTTGGAAGAGTGAATCCCATTGGCTATGAGCTGGCCCCTTGGGGCTTTCTTGTAGCTCAGTTTAGCACTGAGACCTATTCCTAGGACTTCCAGACCTGTTCCTTCCCTGGGACTGTCTCCTGGTTTGGCTTGTGGCTGTGCTCCCTTCTGAATTTCCCTTGTCTAAGCTCTTCTTGTAGCTTTTCACCTCTCCAGCATGAAGCCAAGCTCCAGAGCCAGCCAGCAGCGTGTCAGCCCCTCCAATTCTTCTATCTTCTACCTTCCTACCTCCTTCCAGCCACGAGACATCCTAAAGGTTTCTAGAATGCACGATGCTTATCCTATACCCAACATGCTAGCGTATCCTTCCTAGTTTTGCTCTCTGAGTGAGCGCAGCCCCAGACCACCTCCTCCATCAGATCTTCTAACTGCTGTTAGCTTCCAGCCCAGCCTCTGCTTCCTAGCCTGAGCATCCTCTTCCCAGAATCATTCAGCCTCCGACTCTGTACTACATCCTAGTGTTCGGGTACCTCAAGGTAAGTCTGGGGTCTGATGGTGTAGAATCCCCCTGTGGCTCAGTCTCCTATTCTGAAACTGCTTCTGGGTCTCTTTTTACTCACAGGATTTAAAAACCATGTATATTTGCAGACAGTACCTTGGGTGGTCAGAGCAAATGCAACATGTGGTTTAACTGAACAACAACAAAAAGCTCTTGCTTATTCCCAAATAGCCCCTCTAACAGCCATCATATTGCTAGATCCCACTAAAATTTGATCCTTTAGGACAATGAAATAATTTCCCCTACAGGTCTGCAGAGAGAAAACACATATCCCTGAGCTGTGAGCCTCTTCAGGCAAGGCTGCCAAATTAGAACTCATAGGCTGTTGCTACTCACCTCTTCCCATACCCCATGGCAGACATCACTAATCAATCACACTGTTCATTCCTCAGTAATACAATACAACTTTTTAGGTAGAGACTTGCAATAGAACCAAATCTTGTCTGCAATTTGAAACTGATTTATGGCGAGTCTTTGAGTGCTAGGTCATTTAAACTAGATCTCTGTCTCCTATGGGGAGGCTCAAGCATCAGACAGAGGACTCCCACCCTAGGGAGTCTTTCAGCCTCCTTTGAGCATCCTGACTTGGGCTGGGTTGGTGGAGCAGTTGTGGGGCATCAGAACAAGGTCTGTATGTTTGTCTGTTTGAACCTGACCTGTGGCTCATGTGCTCTGTGGTCTTGTGTCTATGTATTGCCCTATCTGGGCTTCAGTGACTGCATCTGTAATAAAGGCAACAGATACTGAATCCCTGGACAGGAGGACTAGAAGAGGTGAACCCCAGTATACATAGACAGTGCCCCCAAGTATGTGGGTAGCTGACCTTTACCTACCTGTCCTCTCTGGTCTAGAGCTGTGCCTTCCACCAGCTGCCTCACTTTTGACCTCATTTCCTGGTCTAGTCTTAGGTTCATCTCCCATTTCCCTGTTCTTCTCCAGGGGTAAATGCTATTCACCACTATCTGTCCACCCCTGAGCCCCATTTCTTCCTGCTAGCCTATGGATCTGCCAGGTCATCCCTGAGAGGACTTAAGAAGCATCCTCTGACACAGAGAGATGAGAGACAAAGGCTGAGTTTGTCGGAGCTGTGCAAGTCTTCCCAGAATTCCAGGTTCCTACTCTTCCTTCAAGAAGTTCTCTGTAGCTTCTCCTCTCAATGCCAACTTAGAGCAGGATTATGATGGACTTTTTATATTTCCCCAACAACAGTAGAACCAATCTCTTAGGGCAGTTCCTGGGTTATCCGTATACTGGCTGCCGTGCTCTAAGTTATATGATTGTCTCTTCTCTAAACTCCAATATAGAATATGGCTATGGGGTCAGCCCTATCCCCTTCCCACTTTATAATATGTGACCTCATGTCTGGCTAGCCTCTCTGGATCCCAGGGGTCACATGGGAATTAATCATGTCAACTGAGGGAGTGCCAACAAGGTGATGGAAGCAACCAGAAATGGTCCACTCAGCCAGGGGTTGATATTTTTGCTGGGATGGTGGCTAATACCTCCTATCTCTGAGGTTCGCATGCAACTGTGATTCATCTAACTTTGGGAGAAAAAAAGTGTGGCCCTTTGGTCTTCCTGCTCCATGTCCGGTTCTTGTTTAGCTGCACAATGGTCGGCCTGAGACTATGGGGTAGGCAGGTTAACCCCTTCAAGGTCCTGGGAACTTCTTCCAGCTCCTAGCTCTGAAAATTAGAATTTGAAAGACTGCTCTGAGGCTCAACTGCTGCTGGGCCCCTCGGGGTCACCTGGTACTCTCCAGTCCACAGATGGCTGAACTCAGGCCAGATGCAGGGGAGTTTTGTGACTTCCTTGCCCACCGGAGGACAGCTAATTGTTCTGGGCTGTCAAAATCCTCCCTGGGACTCAGCATTCATGCCCTGCTCTAAAGAACCCAGAGCCCACCAGCCTCCCAGATCCTTGAAGCATCCTACCTTGAAGCCATCACCTGTTATTAGTGTGCCTGCCTGCCACATTTCTTCAGGGGTAGCTAATGAACGCGGATGTCCAGAGGAGCTTGCAACAGGGGTAGCTAAGAATATGGCCTCTTACTTCAGTTTCTCCTTTCATATTCTGGGTGCCACCCCCTAACAAGAGGTGAGGTGGGGGACTTGTGCCTGTGCTTTGGGGTTCCAAATCTTTGTGGTATTCACAGCCATCTATTGCTATGGGGGAGTGGGTAAATCCATTCAGGATTCCCTGGCTATCTGCCTCTCATTATGAGTTAATCCCAGAGCCAAGGGTGTATATCACAAGTAAGGACTGAAGACAGTTCCACAACTTTATAGTCTGGAAGCCAGAGATCCCACAGGTTCCAGGAAGAGCCTGTGTTGTGGAGGACTAGATCTACGTTTCAATCGTCATCCTGACTCAGTTTTCACAGTGACACTCCTCCAGATCTCGGTTGCTTTCTCTGAGTACAGAGAGACCCTATCTACCTCCTCGAGGCTGGATAGTAAATCCGGGAGCCATAGTTTTGTTGGAATATTCTGTCTGCATGAACCATCTCCACTGCTCGCCACAGATTGTGAGTAGAATTGCATCCAAAAATGTCCTCTCCTAATGAAGGTTTGGAGACCTTAGGTTACCATCCCAAGGCCACAAGGAAGTGAGTAGGCTGGGATCAGTGCCGAGGGTCACCATCTCTAAGCTAGACTTTTGGCTCAGAGGTCCTTGTCTCCAGGGCCTTCCAGAGACTGCTGAGCTGTGCAGCCACAGGGATCCTTGAGCTCTAGGCCCTGAGTATCTACTGTTGGGGGAGAAACTCCAGGCTGCCTTCCTGCCAGCAGCCGCCTAAACACAAAGCAGGCCCAGTGAGTCTAGGGGAGATGAGGGAAGAGGGTTCATAAATGGGACCCCAAGTGCCCAGAGCTGGACCTCAGAATGCTCATCTTGAAAGTGGGAGACATCGACAGAGTGCTCCTTTCAGCACCCTAAATCCCACTCTAGTCCCTTGTGGAGTGGGTAGGGATAACGAGGGTGGGGCAATGTAAGTCAGACCTTGGTAAATCTATCCCTTTAGCTCTGGACCAGCCTGTCCTATGGGCAGAAGGCAGAGCTAATCCTGGTAGATAGGGAAGGGAAACACAGAACTGTTATTTGCCCATCTCACTCAAAGCAGATCCTACCCAAATCCAAGGTCCAGACTCCAGTCCTCTGCCCTAGCATGTTGAGCAACAGTGGACATCCTATCCTCTTTGAGCCTGGTATCCAGAGACTCTTCGGGTCACTGGGGTTTCACTGAGTAACACAGTCTACTTATAAGGCTGCTGAGTCTTTCTCACACATTAGCCCTGAGATAACTACTTGCATCCTTGCACACTAAGAGATATACATTCTTTAACCCTACTCTGGCCCTACCTGAGACTCAGGCTCCGGAGAGGCTGTTGTCCCTTGGGGAGTCCTACAATGCCCATCCTGTATGGGCGAGCCAGGACCCTCCCAGTTTTAGCTCCATGGGTCAGGAGTAGAGAGAGGTTTGGGAGTCTCACTTACCTTATCCGTGAGCTGAAGGCTCTCCACTGCAGTCTGTCCAGGGCTGAGCTTTGTGTAGAGCTCTGTTGATTGCCTCAGGAGGGGAGAGGGGAGCCACACCCAGGCTGGGAGGGAGGCAGGTTTTTCCAACTGGCCCTGGCCCACTTCCCCTCGGGATGGTTTCCTGTTATTGTTCCTTTGTGAGCTGCCTGCAGATAGGCAAGCCCTGTGGTGGGCGGCCTCAGCCTGGTTAGAAGTCTGGTCCCCGTGGAAGCCTTGGACCTGTCTGTGGTATTCAATTCAAACCTCAATTCCAGGTCTCATCCAAGGAGCTGTGAGCTAAGGACTGGCTGTGGGGGTCCTAGGCTTTTACCAGAGCATTCAGCCATACCTGGAAGGCAGGTATCATATTCCCCACTTTATAGTTCAGAAAGCAGAGACTTACTTGGTCTGAGGTACTTGTTTCTTAGCTGGACAGAGTAACCAAGACAGAAATCCACCTACTTCGGCTTCTCCACAGAGCTTGTTTTCCATGGTGCCTCTGTGGTATGGTGGGATGAAAGGGGGCTCTGGAGGTCTCAGGAGTGGAGTAGCTGAGAAATGGGACAGACAATCACTTTCAGCACCAAAGTGCCTGTCAGCTTCTTCCAGGCAGGGTGTGTGAGTTTCAGTTCCAAGGTACCAGCCTGAAGCACATCTCACTTTACAAATACTGGGTGATGGAGTTTTACTTCTGATGTGACCATGGACCAGCCAGGGATCCATACCTCAGTCTCCTCGTCTGGACAATGGAAGGTAATCAATCATAGGCTTGAATCAGCAAAAGTAAGACGAACGAAAAAGACAGCTAAGCAGAAGGTAGACCAGAGTCCCTCAGAATCAAGAGGTTAGGGAGATGAGGTTAAGATTCTCTCTTCATTCATTATTTGATGGGCTAGTAAAAATTTCAGGGTGCTGGCTCAGACTAAGTGACTTGGAATATATAAGGCAGACCCCTAGAGTGTACCCTTTGGCCAGTTGCCTGGGTTTCTTCATGCGTAAAAGTTTGGGAAGTCCCCAATTTGCCCTGCTTTTCAGTGAGGCAAAGAGGAACCATAAGAGAGCAGATCTTTCCAGGCACGGAGAAAATACTGCAGGGGGCAGGTAGGGAGAGGAAGAAAGGGTTTTCTGTTCGGGTTAGGTGGTACTGGATATGCCCATTAGACACCCAAGTAGAGACATGGGTGTGATGAGTGGAGATGGGCTCCTTGTCCAAAGAGGAGCCATGTTGGTCCATGGCAGTAGACCAACTTGCAGGGAGAGAGGGCTCATCCTCTGAAGTTTGTGTGTCCCTTCCAGAAGGGTCCTGTCATAAAGGGGTTGTGGAAGCTAGTGAGGTCAGGATGGTGGCCAGCTGGGTCACCCTGGGTAAGGGTGTGACTAGGAGAGCTCCAGTCCCTGACCATAGCAGATTCAACAAAACTGATGGGAGGGGACAGTCAGGGTGGGGGTGGGGGAGTGACAAGGAAGCAAAGTTGGTATAGTCAATCACTCCTCCAGGTCCTCTGAGAACTGAACTGGAACCAAGGCCCGAGGATGGAGTTTGAATTATGATGGAGTATTAGCGTTCTGAGACCGTGTGAAGACAGATGATGACACCGGAGTAAGAGGGGGTGGACAGGTAACCGCCACTGGGGCTGTTTTCAGCTCTGAGCCAGATCCATAACATTCAACCTCTCTGTCTCTCTCTGTCTCTATCTCTGTCTCTCTGCATCTCTCTCTCTCTCTCTCTCTCTCTCTCTCTCTCTCTCTCTCTCTCTCTCTCTCTGTGTGTGTGTGTGTGTGTGTGTGTGTGAGCAAACAATAGCTCCACATTTTCTTCTTTGTCAGGATCTGTTGTTCTCTGCCCTCAAGGTGGGCTGGCCCAGCACAGACTGCTCCCTGTGAGAGCTGCCTATCCTGGTGGTCTGTGACCTCAGTGGACATGTCTGCCAGGGTAGCACTTTCCGCTGGGTCCCAAACTCAGCGCTGGCAGGCTGCCAGGGACAGGGCTTGTTCTGCCGTCAACGCAAACTCTTTTGTTTTGTTTTTTGTACTCTAGCCCAGGGGGATATGTCTGCCCTGAAAACAGCCATCACTGTCATCTCTAACAGTAAACAATGGACAGGCAAGCTTTGAATGTGGCCTGGACTCCAGGGATGGCAGTGGAGCTCTACGTAGCAGAAGTTCAGTCCCAAAAGGCCAAGCTATCGTTCTTCAGACCCCTTGTGGGTCCAATGCCTGATTTCACCTACTTCCTAATCCCTCCCCCCTCTCCCCTCACTCCAAGCCCATGGGAGGCAAAGAAGGTACTGGGAGGAGGGCACATGCACAGGGAGTAGCACTGAGCGTGCAGGAGGCTGCCAGGAAGACAGGAAGCATGATGGTCTGCCAGAGCAGATTAGATGCAAACTAAGGAAGTGGTACAAGGGGCCAGGGGATGCTCACCTAGCCTGACCAGGGAGGGAGTCTTGTGTGAGGAGCTTACAGGCCATGAGGCTGGCAGACCCTGGGGCTAGATCTTGTCTGTGTGTTCTAGACCAGAAAGTTGGCTTCTCTGAGCTGCTCTCTTTGTCTCTGAAATGACCTTCAGGACACATTTTTTTCAGGACTAGGAGGAGGTCAAAGGGACACTGGCAATCAGTAACACAAGCAAGGCATACTGAACACGTGCTTCCGATGGGTGAGATCTCTGGGGCAGGAATGATGCCCCAGTGGCTAAGAGCATCAGTTGCTCTTCTCAGAGGACCTTGTTTCTGCTCTTGGTACCCTTATGGCCACTAATCGGTGTCTGTAACTCTAGTTCCAGAGATCTAGTGCCATCTTCTGGCTTCCTCCTGAACTGCATGCCCATGGTGCACAGATGTACATAGAGGCAAAATACCCGTATGCATAAAATAAAAATAAATAAATTTTTTTTAAAAACTGAGCATGGTCCTTAAGCCTCAGGATCACTAGGGTAAGGAGAGGAGCTGGAAATGTAGATTCCTTGCCCTCACCCGAGGTGGGCGGAGACAGATGCCTGGAGATGGAACCCCAATATCTACATATCTACAGCCTGGCAGCCTTTTAGACCTTGTGGCTGAGCACTCACATTAAAAAACACACACACACACACACACACACACATACACAATACACATACATACACATACACACACATACACACACATACACACATACACACACATATACACATACACACATACACACACACACATTCACATACACACATATACACACATATACACACATACAGGCACACATACACACACACATACACACACACATACACACACACACACACATACACACATACACATACATACACATACACACACATACACACATACACACACATACACACACATACACACATACACGCACATACACACATACACGCACATACACACACATACACACACATACACACATACACACACACATACACACACACACACCATGTGCTGCTCATGCCTAGAGCACCTAATTTAGCCCCGAGACAAGCCTGGGGTTAGTTGTTGTTAGCTTTGCTACACAGATGGGGAAACCATAACCTGGGAATTTAGGTGCTGCCTGGGGTTTGAGAGCTTATTGTTGGTGCAATACCGGTTCTTAAGCAGGCCTTCCTCTTCGTCACAGGGAAGCTCTTTACCCACCAGGCTTTCCTGCCCTTCGGCAGTGTGTCATTAGAACTCTTCCGGGTCACAGTAATTTTCTGTCAATAAAAGTTTCCCACAGTATGGGGCAATCAACTTTAGCGCAGGAGGGTGATGCCTTTGGCTTCATCATCGGTGGTGCTGGACTTGAAGGCATGTGAGTTCCTCCTTCTGGGATCTGCCTGTGCTTTTCCATTTCCTGCATTCAGATCTTTCTCTTGTTTGCAGAGTCCCTTGATCTTCTCTCTGATTTCACATCCCCCATACCAGGGTTAGGATTCATGAGTTCACCCACTGGTTCATTGTCCTTCTTCTAGCCAGATGTGTCTCACTGATGTGCAGCACAGATGGAGTTCTCCCTAAATGAGGACTTGGGGTTGTACAAGCATCGGAATCAGGGGTGGAACACTGAGGGTGGAGCTACAGCTTCCCCAGGGACTATATGTCCCACAGCTTCCCCAGGAATGTGTCCCACACTCCACTCTGCCTATGTGCACTCAGTAGTGGGGCTCCCAGCATTCCTCCCATCCCCTCCCAGCCTGTTGCTGCCTTGCCTAGGAGCCAAGCGATCAGCTGTACCTTCTATGGCCAGCATTACTGTTAGTTTGTCTTCCTGTCTTGGTTCCTGGTTTTCTTTTCCTTTCCTTCCCTTTCCTTCTTCCCTTCCCTTCCCTTCCCTTCCCTTCCCTTCCCTTCCCTTCCCTTCCCTTCCCTTCCCTTCCCTTCCCTTCCCTCCCTTCC